TATTATATATTGACTCATGTAAATCTCACAACAATTCTATGAAATGGTAACTATCATAATCGCCATTTTATAGATGAGGAAACTGAGTCACAGAACTAACTATCTCTCCCAAGTTCACAAAGCTAAAAAGGACAGATCTTGGTTCAAACCCAGGTAGTCTGGCTCCAGAATCTACTCTTAACCACTTTGTTGTCTCATCACTAATGAGATGGGAAGAGACACACTGCTGTAAAGAGGGTGGCTCAAAAGTGGGAGGAGAGCAGAGGTTAAGAAATGTTATTGTGGAGATAAAGAAAAATAGAATTAAAAAAAGAGGGCAATCACAAGTGAAAGCCTGGAAAGGGGACACAACGGTAAAGAGAGTGAGGATAAGGGGAAGTTGACAAGCAAAAGGTAAAATCAGAAAGTCGATCAAAATGGATTGGGAAGATGAGAAAGGCCTGGAAGACCTCAAGGAAAAGGCTGCCGTGCCAAGCAAGAGGGAGGGAACAAATGAGGAAAGGTGATTCTCACATGACGGTGAAGGTACCGTTGTAGGTCTTGGGCTCTAGCACAGGCACTCAGCGGAGCCTCTGCTCTGGGCTGAGACCAGTACAGGACAGTGTCTCGTCTCTGCAGATACAGAGCTCACATAGGTTGATGCTCTTGGTGGCATTCTTTTCTGGGGTGTAATTTTCAGAAGAGTCCAATGGATGCTGAGTTGTAGTAAGTTCCACATCAAAAGGGGGAACTGCGACTGGAGTCAGGTTCGGATGCTGAGTCTGCACCTGCTGTGGATGTGGAGCTGTAGTCTTCTTCAGGACTGTAGAATGTTCGGTCTCTGTAGTAGATACTGAAGTTACAGTAAGCTCCAGGTCTAAAGGCCAAACTGCAACACTGGGTGACGTTCGTGGCTGAGCTTGATACTGACCTGGTTTTGAAACTGTCACCTCTTGATACACTGGAGATTGAGCTGCAACCTCCTTAGGTGGTTCTGGAGGCTGAGTTGGGGTCCTCTGCCTGGTGTGAGAAGATTTCAGCTCTGTAGTAGGTTCTGTAATTATGGTAAGTTCCAGGTCCAAAGGCTGAACTGTGACTTGTGTCAACTTTGGATGCTGAGTCTGGGCCTGGTGTGGATGTGGAGCTGTAGCCTTCTTCAGTGCTGTAGAATGTTCAGCCTCCACAGGGGGTTCTGGAGTTATGGTAAGTGCCAGATTGAAAGGTTCTATGTCCTCAGGGTAGCGTGGAGGCTGAGCTAGGGCCTCCTGCTGGGTTAAAGAAGTTTCAACCTCCTCAAGGGCCTCCTGTTGAGTTGAAGAAAGTTCTTCCTCCTCAGGGGGCTGTGGAGGCTGAGCTGGGTCTTGCTGGGGTGGAGAGAATTGGATCTCTTCAGGGGGCTCTAGGTTTTGAGATAGGGTCTCTTTCAGTAATTGATTAGTTTCAGCTGGCTCAGGGGCCTCTAGACGCTCATCTGGGTCCTTCTGGGATTCCAGAGGAAATTCAGGATGAACCATATCCATACTTGAAAATCCATTATCACTGTGCAAGATTTGTTTCTGATGCTCAGGTTTGGGTGCAAATGGGTGTGGAATTCCAAGAATCTTGGCAAGCTGCGGATGCTGAGTTTGATCTCTCTTTAGGGGTGAAACAACAAACTTTGTTGCTTTTGAACTCTCACTATCTACGGTTCGAATCTTACTTTTCAGTCCAAGAGGCAGAACCAGGGCCTGATTCTGTTGCAAATCTTGCACTGGAACCACGTCTGGGAGCCTTTGTGGCCAGGCTAGCTTGTCACGCAGATCCTGATGCAGAACAGCAAACTGATCTGGCTCTGGGGGCAGCTCTTGAGCTGAATCTGTGCCCAGCGATGGAATCAGCTTCTTGGCCACTTCCTGAGACCGGACCAACATCTGGAAGGCAGAAGAGGATCCCAGGTAATCAAAGCTCCCTGGGGCTGCTGGGCGTTTAAACGCATGGGGCGATCCAGGTGGCATGCCGTTCATAGGAGCACAAAGACCAAGGCTCAGTCAGCTCTGGGGGGATGGAGGTCAGTGGGACAGGGCGCCAGGCCCACTCCAGAAGGGGAGCCACCTGAACGAGCATCCATAAGGGTGCAAACGTCAGAAGCCAGAGCGCCCAAAAGCGCAACTGGGACATCATAGAATTAAATAGAAGCTCTGGGGCACAGTGACCCAGACCAATCGGGTAACTGTTGCTCGCTGAGCGGCAACAGAACCCTTATGGCAACCCCTGCCATGAGCACGCCCTGAGCAGCCGTGGCCCCACCCCTGGACCACCCTTCATTTATGACATCACTATCACTGACAAACTTTACTAGGCTCCGGCCCACAAGGGTGAGCCTTGTCCCATAACCAAGGGGCTCAAGCCTCCCTGCCCCCTGCAGAGGTGATAGTCACCTCCCGGTGGAACAGCCCCTCACTTCCTTAGCAAGGCAGGATTTCAGTCACAGACCCAGATAGCCCTGGGCCTCCAGCAGCCCACTGGGGGTGGGGGGTTGCAGGGCATCCAAGGGAGTCACAGGGCCTCTCCTCTCGGGATATTCAGAAGTGCTGCAGTGCTTCTGACAGCCTGGACTCCTCCTCTTCCAAGCTGGAACCTGAGAGACCTTCTTCCCCTTGGCTGTACTGCTTCCAAGAAAATGTCAATGTGAATGCCAAGATTAAGCATTAACCCTGGTCTACATTAGCAGGTAGCTGGATCATCCTACCAGTTTGTATGTCCCTCTAACTCGTGTCCCTTCCCTCTTTCCCAATAACACCAGATTAATATTCCCAAAGTGGTGCTTTCATTACTTTGTTCTGCTCAAAAACTCTTCTGCTCATATAATGTCTATTCATTACCAATACATTAAATTTAAACTTCTCAGCCTGGATGTTAATTTCCCTACAACCTGCTTCTACCTGGCTAGTAAACCTTCTCTCTTCTTCCTGTCAATCCCATTCTGGCCAATGCTGTAATATTCTACTGTCCTCTTTGTTCTCTTCTCCCTAAACCCCATTCTCAACTCTGGTCTTTGGCTCCTGCCATTCCATGCCAAGAATATTCTTTCTCTTCTCTGTCAATTCAAACTCTTCCCATCTTCTACGGCTTCAAATTGTACTTCTTCAACAAGCCTTTCCCATTTTTCTAGCCTGCAAGGATCTCTCTCTTCTGAATTCCTTTATTATTACAAGGGTACTTTGAAAACTTCATGGAAAAATATAATTAAAAGACAATATGAACCTTTCCACAAACTTTTTAAAGTACCTTCATATCGGGCCGGCCCGTGGCTCACCCAGGAGAGTGTGGTGCTGAGAACACCAAGGCCATGGGTTCGGATCCCATATAGGGATGGCCGGTTCGCTCACTGGTTGAGCGTGGTGCTGACAACACCAAGTCAAGGGTTATGATGCCCTCACTGGTCATCTTTTGGGGAAAAAAAAAAAAAAGTACCCTCACATCTGTACAATCACATACATATTGACTTGTCACATTATCCAATTTTTCCTGTTAAGCATTATTTTCTCAATGAGATTAGACTCCTCCAAAGATTAAGGGTTATGTCTTTGTTCCTCAGTTATGCCATTTGAAAATGCCGTCTCTTACCTGCCAGGACCCTGAACGATACAGTCTCCTTTCTTTTCTTACTCTTAAATGTCTTGTTCTCTTTTCTTCTTAATCAGGCACATGAGAGCAAAATATATCTTAGTGGTCTTTCAGAGAACTGGCTTTTGGATTCATTGATCACTGTCTTGCACTATGTTTTCTATTTTGTTAATTTTTATTTTTACCTATATTAATTTCCACCTCATAGATTTTTTATTCCTTTGTGGTTGCTCCTCCCCCAACCCCACCTAGGGAGGGGTGCTTAGTGTCTTTCTGACTTTCTGCTTTAATAATGAAGAAGTTTAATGCATCCTTTTAGTTTCGTTATGAGGAGTTCTCTATTACTTACTACTAGATAGCTTGTAATTGATGCAAGGATTATCTACGAGTATATTTCTTAATTTTCTTTTCTTTTTTATTACATATAAATTTTAGAGTTATGATCACATAATGTGTCCTCTAATATGTTAAAGAGAATCTTTATCTTTTTAAAGTTTTTATTATGATCTTATCATATTTTTGTAAATCTGTAGTTATATGAAAAATAATGTCTATAGATAATGCAGAGTTCTATATATATTAGGAAACCAAGTTTATTATTTGTATTTAATTCCTTTATGTCTTTAATCGTACTTTGTCTACTAGATCTTCCCATTTTTAAAAGATCTGAAGTCTGAGGTTTATAAAATTGCATTTTTATAAAATTCTTCTCGCATGACTAATATTCTTTGCTTTAACTGTGTGGTATTTACAGGTTTATGACTGTTATAACATTCTTCATAAATTTTGCCTTTTGTTTAACTGTGTGGTATTTACAGGTTTGTGACTGTCATAACATTCTTCATAAATTTTGCCTTTTGATATCCCTCTTATTTACATCCTTTTGATGCTTTAAATCTTACTTTGTTCAATATTACCATTGTCAGTATTGATTTCGTGTTGTTTGCATTTGCCTTGTATATCATTGCCCATTCCTTATT